GCTGACATAACTTGACAGCAGATTGGCAGTAGAAACCGAGAGATCTGCCATTTTCATATAAGGCCTCGCCACGAGATGGACTTACTTCTCGTAAAAAAAAAAACGTCCAGAAGTCCTATAAGAATTGGCATATGTAAATCGAATATGCAAATCTCCTGAAGATTCCCAAGCACTTTTAAGTGTGCTTTCTGAATCTCCGAATATTTTTTTTACTATTTTATAACTTCTCATGTTATACATAAGTAATTTTTTACATTTCTTCAAACTTGTTTTTTTCTCAAATAAATAGTACAAAGATTAATTATTTAATTATTTTAAATGTTTTCACATTACTATTGTTATTTCTATTACACTAAAAAGTAATTTTACAGAAGAGAGATGTATAAACATGTATGGACATGTTTCATGTAAAATTATGTATATTTATAAATATTTATGTATGTTTATACACATTTATACATGCTCATGCATGAACAATTTTTTATTGAGTGCTGCTAGTCTGTTTGCATAGAATGTTAACAGATTCTGTCGGCAGAATAGGAGCAGAACGACATCAGTTATAATCAGTCTGCTAACATCTTCTGATCAAATCTGCTACCAGTCTGTCTACATCCTACTAACATTTTGCTATCTGAGACTTTTTCGTTACGAGTGTAACGAAAAAGTAAAACGAAAAATATCAACAGCATGCACAGGTTATGTTTGGTCAGATTAGTATAAGAAAATGTACGAGGGCAAGGTGAAAAGTAACCGACCTCAACATGAAAACATGAACTATGTACAAAGTTTTTAGTTAAGTACCAAGTGTTATATATCAAATTACTCGTATTAAAAATATCTATAATTTATACTTTGATCACTTTTCTGAACAATTCATAGCTAAAAAGTTAGAGTCAAAAATATGTTAGCGCTTTTTTTCAAATCTGCCGCAGCAACTTATAAGCCTACCGAGCTTATGCTACCTGTAGAGAAAAATGGTCAAGGCAGAAATTGTAGCCGCCTTTAATGTGAGCAATATGATATATAACACTTGAATATATACCGAAAAGTTTGACTTCGATGGCGGCATCTTCAACAACAAGTCGTACTTTTTTTCTTAAATTTTCGTTTTTTGCTTTTTTTCTTCTTATGGTTTTTTGGCTATAACTTTTTAGCTGTGAATTGTTTAGCAAAGTGGTCAAAGGAGAAATTATAGATATTTTCAATGCAGTGCTGTGTCGCCGAAACTGTACGAATTTTGAAAAGAAATATGGAGCACCGAAGGAGCTATACGCAAATTGGTGAGGAAAGTTCGTGAGAAAGGGATGTTAGTGGATGACAGAAGTGGTCCCAGAGCTCGGACAGTGCGCACACCCGAGAATATTGAGGCTGTGGCCCAAAGTGTGAGACAATTCCAGCTTTGAAAAACAATAGTCCAAAATGTCATTAATAATTGGGGTGACCGAATGGCATACTGTAAGGCCAGTAGAGGGAGCCACATGAACGAAATCGTTTTTCATTCTTGACGCGGATACTTTTAGCTTCACAACAAAAAAAAAATTAATAAAAAATATCAATGTATGCTCATTTGATCGCATTTTTAAAAACGTACCAATAGATGGCCCACCCTGTAGTTCATGTTTTCATGTTGAGGTCGGTTACTTTTCACCTTGCCCTCGTATGTGAGATGAGAGATCGACAGATATAACAATCTCTTGAATAAAAGGATTTATTAGTTACATTGTCAGAAAAAGCTTATGGATCTCTGGGGATAGTCACAGGATCCTCGAATCAAATATACTTTTCTTTTACTGATCACTAAAAAGTACTAGTTTATTTTATTATAATTTTACTTAATATGAGAAATGAAGAGCAAACAGCCACGCGTACGTGACGAAACGCGATATCAGCTTATCTGTGCCAGTCTTGATATGGAAATTTTTTTGCGACAAGTTCTATAATACGGAAATCTTCTCGCGGCTAGTTCTACGATACAAAATTTTTTCAAAATTTTTTCAGAATTTTTTAATACTTTATTTTCTCATGTTGATAAAAAAAAAGAAAATGCAATACTAAAAAGTTGATAAAAAATTCTGAAAAAATTCTTAGAACTTTATGAGAAAAAAATTAATGATTTTTGTCTCTTGCAGCTTTTTTATAAAGTTGATAATATTTAAGTAAAAAATGATTCAAGATCAATATTTGACAATTTTTAGTAATTGATATCTTGTCAATTATTGCGAAAATTGCAAAATGAGGACTTTTCGATTCAGTTTAGTCCTCTCTACCTGCTTATGAAATATTTGGCGATTATTTTCAGACACCCTGTATAGTATAGAAAGGCAAAAATGTAAATCAAAAATAAAGTCTTGGCAATATCCCTGTATGTATGTGTGATTTCCGATCCGCAGGAGTTTAATTTCCTATGTCCCATTGAGCGGAACTTGCAGATACGCAATCAATGCAAGCCAATAACAAACGCTATTCTGGTGGATCTAATAAAAATGATCTACGAGAAGGTTCTCGTGATTGGTTAGCATTAGGATTAAAATATATTGTAAAAAAGGGAGTTTAAAATTACCAGTATACAGCAGTTTAATGATGGCAAGACATTTTATTGCAAAATAAAATATCTTATCATCATTAAATTGATAACTGTAAATAACTAAAAAAAAAAATAAACTACTAAACTCTCTCTCTCTCTCTCTCTGTAAAATAAAAGTATTATTAAATGAAAGTGTTATTTCATTACTGTTTCATATTACTATTTCAATTCCAAAAGTGTGAAACTATAGAACTATAATTCAGCTGTAGAAAACAGATCTACTTCTGTCAATATTTTATAATTTAACATAAATTCTACTTGTTAATATAATATAATTTAACGTAAATTTTACTCTCACAATTTCTCAAATCTAAATCACCGCGTTCACGTTACTTATAAGTGGGAATATAACAATATCGATGATTGGTTCCGCCATTTTACTTCAAAGCCAATGAAAATTTCTAGATTGACTCTCTCTTATAGGGACTCTAGAGAAAACTGGTCACGGACCCTCGTCCTGATTGGACGCGATCATTGAGAGTGCATTCCATTTCACACATGATGAGCATAAATCTGTTTTCTGTGACTGAACTTTTGGAACTTGAAGTGAGATAGATATACGTTTAATACAATATTTGTTGAAAATGAGGAAGAGAGTGCTAGTGTAGTTTAGTTCAGGAACAGAAAACAGACCACATGATGCGTGAAACGAAATGCAATCTCCATGATCGCGTCCAATCAGAACGAGAGTCACGTGACTAGTTTTCTTTAGAGTCTCTATAAGAGAATCGCGTCAACCTTGTAACTCTTAGAGAGCCTACAATCAGAGTGACGCCATACGGGTATC